GAGGAAATTCGTTGGAATTCTTTAGCAGACATAAAGAATATGGAGTAAATTCAGGAAAAACATGGTGTTAGTAAAATAGGCCCAGAGGAATTCAACGGGTTAGTCAAAACAGCTCTTTAAATATAATGTGAGAAACAAAAGGTTATAGATATAACAACCTGTAATGAAGTATGATTGTAAATGTAACACTGGACTAGGTTGCATTAGCAGTACGGACGGAGCTATGAGACACTACCCTCACTGTGAGCATAAAGAACTGTGCCATCATTTACAGAGTTCCACGTTCTATACTGGATTCTCCATCGACAATCTAGACGGGAATGTGGAGAGTTGGGAAAAATTTTTATGAGTCATAAAACATAAAAACTGTGAGAAATGCCAAAAAAGAACCAGTGTTTTGCTGTATCATGGAAAAGCTAAAGAATCAAAGTCTTCCAGTGTATGAGGCACTACAAGCTCTTAAGGTTTGCTTAACTCCTGACACATCTGGTTGGGACAGTCTGCTCAGAGAATTAGCTGAGGAAGTAACAGTGCATGTTTTCAAGCTACAGATTAGTAAGCCCTTGGTTTTGAGATGGGTTCAATCATTAATTAGAGACGATTCAACATAAATAACTGAGTCACTAAATGAACAACATTTAAGAAAAGCTATTATTTCCCACTGATAAGCAACTAAAATAATAGTTATCTTCAAAGTTCACTGGCAGGTTGGACCTCAGAGGATTCTAATGATTCTTTGAACACAAATCATGCTGACAGGACTTAAGTTACCGCCAACTATTAACAGACCCAAACCTTGTACATAACTGTATAGTCAAATGGGTTCAGAGATGCTCAGAGCAGATCAGAAGACAAGAGTTCCCTAGTAGGAATATGTAATAATTTTACTTTAGATAATTGTTAGCATCATTTAAAGTAATGTCTTGCTTCTGCTTATTAAAATCTTGATGTGAGCAGTTTAAGGGGTCTGAACTTTTAACATTTCCCTTGGTATTTTTGTTCATTTGTTTTTCATGTCCCTAAATAACATAGAAAGTGCGTCCTGTGACCTAAAATTTTAAATGCAAATTTCCTTTAATTATAAGACACATTTAAACTTCAGGCACTTCTCATCAGGTTTTGAGTTTGAAGCTGGCTAGTTTGGTCCAAGAAACAAGGATGAGCTATAGGTCTCTGCCTGTATCCTTCAACTCCAAGTCAGCACCCAGAGAACTGTTTTTTAGATCAAAGAAACAGTAACTTGATTATTGGAAAATAAGTAACAGGTCTCAGTTTCCCTTCCACAGGTCTGCAGGTTTTTCTAGCTATATCTTAGGGTGCTTCATGTTCTATACAAAGGGTTTTTGATCAGAAAGATAATTCCTTTTCAATATTTGCTCTATTTTATGTCAGGCTTTTCTTCTGTCTGTATTCATAAGCAGCTCATGGTTAAAATCATGTCTTAAACTACCTCCCCCACTCCAAATGTTTTCTTTTATTTAAGGCTGCAGGGTGCTGTAATCAACATATCAACTGGTGAATGTAGTGGAAACTACATCAACAACTCATGATGACTGACCCACTTAAGTAGATGAGTCTGTAGCAGGACTACAGAAAGGGAACTATGAAAGCAGTGCGAACATCAGAGACATCATCACTCTTGTAGCTGTTGGTTATCTCTTGACTGGACATTCGTCTCTATAGAACCAATGCTAGTCCTGACTGCCTTAATAGTTAACTCATGAAAAAAAAAATCATTCAGGTCCTGTCAGTCATTTAATCAATCTTCCTCCCTAAAGAAAGTTACTTTTCTTTTATTGGAAGCCCTTAATCTATTATTGGAAGGCTACCACAAAAGGACTACAAATAATGGAGGGTATTTTTTTATATAAAGATTAATAATGCTTTCAGATTAGGCACCATTTTAGAGAAAAAGTTCTCTACTTTGAATAGCAATAATGAGAAATGCAGGGGAATATATCATTTAAAAAATGTGTTAGCTGGGTAAGTGGTTAGGAATTTTTTAAAAATACATAGTTCAACAATTCACATTATCAGCTTAATTTTCCAAGATTCTAAACATATCTTATTATTTCTATTTTCTGCTAGTATAAAAAAAATCAGACTGGGCAGTGGTGGCACATGTCTTTAATCCCAGCATTCTGGAAGCAGTTGGAGGCTAGCCTGGTCTACCAAGTAACTTCCAGTCCAGCTAAGGCTACATTCTGAGACCTTATCCCAAACAAAAGATTCTGGAACACAGAATGGGTATGTGTATTGAACAGACATCTAGTGGGCTCATGGTTCTATAGCTGGCACACCCAAAAGCTTGGTGTTAGTACAAGGTGAAGAACTCTATGTCCCATGTTGTTTTATTCCTATGTGCTAGTAGAAGAGGCTCAGACTCGTGTGCATAACGATCCACCCTCAGTAATGACTTCATTCAATCCTCCATCCATTCCTGAGGGTTTATCCCTTATGACCTACTCCCCGTCAGGCCACACTTCTCAACTGAGCTCTGTTAAACCACACCAGTCAATCAGTCCTACGTTGTAGACATTTTATTAAGTCTGTTTGATTTTTACAGCATGTCATGATGCACTGTCATTCATATCTGTTTTGAGGGTGAAAAGCACTACCATCACCGCCTTCTTACTCCTGAAACAAAGCAGAAAAGATTTGCCCAAAGTCCAAAGTGGGAAAGATATGCAGTGACACTGGGCCTGACTCCAAAGCTTGCGTTTATAATCTCTAAAGATAGAACAGATAGGCCAAACATTTGCCCTGTGTGCATGGACAGAGCCATTCTTCCAAAGAGAACATTGACAACTACAGTTCAACAAAAAACTTCACCTATTTTAAAATTTGATTTTACAGAATGCCTTTTAAAGAGACAGAAACATTTAATGAAATACTCAACAACTTTTATAGTTTAAATTTAAACATACTGGACAACAGGAATGGGACCTATATCACCCTGAGTTAATTAAAGGGATACTACTTAAAGCACACCCTGAAACGCAGCTGGAGCTGCATCTCAGTGGAGCAGCAGCTGCTAGTGCATAGACAACGTCCTGGATTGCAGCCCTAGCATCAAGTAGAGAAGTTCACTTAAAGGACGAGGAAGATGGCCCAGTCAGTAAAGTGCTTGCTGCACTGACAGGAGGACCTGAGTCTGGATGCCATGTACAAAGCCAGCTGTGATGGCGCGTGCCTAATCCCAGCGTGGGAAGGCAGGAGGGGAGGGCCCCTGAAGCTCACAGGACAGCCAATCATCCCAGTGGTGAGCTCTTCTAGGACCAACAAAAGACTCCATCTCAGAAAGTAAGACAGAGAAGAGCTGCGAAGGAAAACTACTTCTGATCTCCACCCCGTACACATACTTACATGTGTGTGTAAGCACACACACACACACACACACACACACACACACACACACACACACACCAGGCCATACGTAACTTCCTGTCAATCAAATGAAGTTCATCTTCATTTTTTGTCCATAAACACTCTCTCTCCCTCTCCCCCCCCTCCCCCCCCCCCCCCGATACTTACACACACAAGTTCTTTATAGCGGGAAGACAAATTTATCCTGGAAATACTATAATGGTTTCCATTTGTTTTTTTTTTCTTCCAAATGTCAAAATGTGGTGATAGTTAGGTATTTATCTTTTAATCAAGAATGACATCATTCCCCTTCATGTTTATTGACATAAAACTTCCTTTTGTCCAAGAAATTCTTTCAGTATTATGAATATGGCTTTAATTAACAGATACACTGATTGATCACTTGATAGTTTTTGTCACAGAGAAGGTATGTGCTTTATTGTATGGATTGTTTTGCAAGCAGATCATAATGGAACATATAAATGACCTCTGGCAATATGTTGTGGTCTATGTACTGTACCTTTCTTGTCCAATCCCCAATGCCACTGAAGATCACTGTTTAGAAAGTCCTGAGGGAATGGTATGTTTTACAGTATAAAAGAATTTGTGTTTACAACCTATTTTAAGAAGGACAAGGGCATATTGCAGCATGGATAGTACAAATACCTTTTCCTACATTTACTCATGAGGCGAAATCTTTGAGTATCGTTTTAAAACATAAAGTTGTTCTTTGAATTTACGGAAGTCACTCATCTCAAGTTCCTCTAATTATTTGTTCATAGATTTGTGGCAAATTTTCTGGAATCATGATTTAAAGGGTAGATTAATGTTGCAAAATCTGAAGCATACCATGCAGACAGAAATCTTTTAAACAGTCGTGCAGGTCTATTTTCACGTGGTACCAGATAAAACCTAAATTACAGTGGTGGTGTGGCTCTCTGGTTCAAAATCTTTACTCCACAACCACTGAATCATGTAATTCTTAGTTCCCCATTCACAGAACAGGTTTAAAAAACGCAGCTTCTGTAGTTAAATGGATAAGCACCAGCAGGAGAGTGTGTTGGGCAGTTTAAAAATAATTCATAGATCTAAAGGCCTGATATCTGTACACAGCATCTGCTAATTTGTGAGAGCCCTCGCCCATCCATAAACACTGATCAAAAAAAAAATCTGCTGACGTGTGGAAAGTGTAGAAAACTGCCCAAATCACGCTAAACGAAGCACAGTGGGCTCTCCAGAGTGTCCGGATACTTATTTGGCCTCTGCAGCGTCCAGCCTGCCGCAAGCCGCATCCCCCAGCCCTCTGCCACCCCGCGGGTCCGCTCGGCCGCCCAGACTCCCGAGTGGGCCAAGGTCACCCTCGCCGCGGCCCTGGTGCAGCCCGTGAGCTGAGCGCAGGAACTCGGCGGCCTTTCCTCCTAAACTTTGCAACCCGCGTGAGGAGTGAGCGCGGGTAGACGAGCGGCCTCGCCATCCGAGCGGGTCCGGACGACTCCGCCGTCCTCTCGAGCCGCCCGCCCGCCCGCCCGCCCGCCGACCCGCGCTCCGCGGGAGGAGCCGCCGTGACGCGTCAGGGAGGAAACGCCGGCGCCCGGCCGCGCCGCCGGGAAGGAGGAACCGCCAGCGCGCTGGGCTCCGCGCCCGGGCGCCCGGACGCCGCACAGCCGGGTAGGTGCGGGGCGGGTGCGCGGGTCCGCGTGGCGGGGTCGGTCTCTCCCTGGCGCCGGGGATCCGCCGCGGCCCGGCGCTCAGTCTTTGTGTCCTCGAGGAGAGCTCAGCGCCGAGGCGTGTAGCTTTAGAGCCCGGGGTGGGGGACGCGGGCGGCTCGCCCGGCCCCCGAGCCGGGCAGCGGGCGGGGAGGACCGGGGAGCCCACCTGACGCGGGGTGGGGGTTCCCTGCGCGGACCCCTGGGATGGCGGGGGTGAAGTGGTCAACCGGACTAGAACGCGTCGCCACTCTTTTTTTCAAGTTCTGAGACTCGAACCCTTCGATCTGTTTTCATAGTCGATTCTCACCGACGTGTGCCGCCTAAAAGCGCGCAGAGGTTTTCGGTTCTAAGACGCGCTTTTAGGGGTGGTTCTTTGGACTGGTAGAAAAAAATAAGGGATTCGGCTCCTGAAACAAAAGTCTTTTACTTAATCTTGCACCTAATGGCTGGGTGAACTGCAGTTCTGCAGGCAGAGACTATATGCAGGATCCACTTGAAATTCAAGAATAAACACAGAACACTCAAGTTTCTGAATCTTTTGTCAGAGTGAAAAAAAAGAAAAAACGAAAACAAACAAAACAAGACCCCCCCCCCCCAACTGCCTGTTGGGTAGCTTGATTTTTTTCTCTTTTCACTAGATTGTTTACCCAACAGGCCTGGAAAGTGCCTGCCTTATTTACCAAACACAGCTCATACTATGAACTATGCTGTTTCCTAAGTGCTTTAAAAATATTATCTCAAATTCTTAACTCAAAATATTAAGTTATAGTGGTTGTAGCCACGAAGAAGCCATGCATACTCTAGTTCCCCAAAGTTATAGAAAGAACTGGAAACATTAGAGGAAGTTTCAGACATAGTTTAGGAATGGGTGTGCCTTCTGCCCCCTAGGGTACCACTCCCTTAAGACAAGTTATTACCCTTCTTCCCTGTGGGATTCGAGCTTGGAGAAATGGGACCTGTTGCTGGCAGGTCTCAGGTCAGATCCCACATAACATCAGAAAGATGGTTTCTCTGATTCCAAGTCTGACAACTCAGACATCAGAAGTTCCCTTTCTTTAAGCTGCCACTGTGCTGAGCCTAGTTTTGTTTTTAAAGGGAGCTTTGTTTCAAGTCTATTTGACAATTCATATGACATGGCTCAGATGGGAGCATCAGATTAAGCTTGAAATGAACTGTGAAACAGAACGTTTTTGTTTGTAGACATAAACAAAACATAAACAGTTTGGTAATTTTCTGTGGTTGGTTGTTGCTAACACTGAATTGGTTGATGTATCCTGTAAGGTGTCCATTTTGTGATTTGCAGCTTATATAGAGAAGGGATTCTCCCTCCACCCCCGACAATAGAATGCTCTTTTCAAATGAGTTTTTGGGCCTGGTGCCTAATGGTAAAGACCCAGAATAGTCAATAAATAATATCGACACAGTTTTTGTCACTGTGGTGATTATAAATGTAATATTAAGATTTTTAAAAATCATACTCTTGGTTCTTTTTCTTCTCATAAATTTCCATTTTCTGGGAGGTAAGTAAATGAGCTGATAAGCCTGACTAATAGGCTTTCCCTCCACTGATACAGCTTATAGTGGGTACCACAGACACGGATGGTACTCATGAATTAAATTCAGCCTAATATCTAACAATCCTCAGAGAGACTGTGTGAGGTCAGCACATCTTAAAAAGCTCCCTTTTGTACAAGTAAAGACACCAAAGCATGAAAGTGTTGATTTGCTGCAGCACTGTTTGCCGAGCTAACAGGAGGGTGAGCCCAAATGGAGTAGGTGCAGAGACAGACAAAGCCTGGCACGTGCAGGCCTGTGACAAATATTTGTGGAATGAATGACTTTAGAAAGCCTGCTCTTTCAAAACATACCTCCCAAAATACCGTCATAATTGATTTGTGCTGAAGAGAGGCCTAATCCAATGCGTCTCTTATTTCTTTTTTTTTTTTTTTTGGTTTTTCGAAACAGGGTTTCTCTGTGTAGTTCTGGCTGTCCTGGAACTCACTCTGTAGACCAGGCTGGCCTCGAACTCAGAAATCCGCCTGCCTCTGCCTCCCGAGTGCTGGGATTAAAGGCGTGCGCCACCACTGCCCGGCTGCGTCTCTTATTTCAAACAGTATCTGATGCAGTATTTTCCTATAAAAAGGGCAAAGATACCCTTTGGACTCAGGATTTATCATCTCTAGTGTTTGAAAAATAACTTAGTGGTTGTTTTTCTTTCCTTTTTTTTCCTGTCAAACACCCTACCTATATTTTATTTTGTTTTATTTTATTTTTGGTCTAGTTTTAAGAGCTTTAGGTCAGACAAGTGCTGTTAGTACTTGTGCTGACAGTTTTCTTACATATGTCTCTAAGCACTTGGATTTATGGGGGAGTTCAAATATAATGATCAAAGTTATTTCTCAGGTTTTTCTGAAGTGTCTGACATGGTGTGTTTTTTGAAGCTAATTATTTTAGTATAAAGCATCTTCTAAAAAAGCAAAAAAAAAAAAAGTATCTTCATTTATTTATATCCTTTAAGCATGGGGCTCTGCATCCTAAAGTGTGTGGTCCCACATAGATTGCCTTTAGACAGAGAGGACAATATATATGGCCATTGCCTGGGAGAGGACTGAGAAGGACCACCGGATGAAAGACAGCATAGCCTTTCCCACCAGGGACTTTAGGAAGAGAGAACATCTTACTGAAGCCAATCTGAGTCAGTTGTCTGTCAGCCCTCTGTGTGGAGGTGGGATAAATGCTTTTCAAACCTGCCTTGTAGAAACTACCATTACCCTTTCAATCTCCGTGTGTTCTTTCTTTTAAAGCTTCATGTAAATTATGGACTAAACTGCTGATTCATGAGAGTCAAATTATGTAACGTGTTATTCCTGACAGAAATGGCTCCCACATTCTTTTAAGTGAAGAGTGTCTCTATTTTTCTTTACCTGCTCCATTCCTGTTGGTGGAAGCTTTGATCTTGATTCACCCTCCCCATTTCATGGAGAAAAGTGATAAATCTAAGAGGGGCTGAGAGGCCTGGTCCTTTAGTTCACATCAGCATTTAACTTAACAGGAGCTCTGAGTTAATTACTGTTGCCAAGAAGATGTGGGATCATATGCTGAAGACCAGCGCTGAGTGTCGAGCTGTGTGAGGCTACGCCAAGGGCTTCAGGGAAAATTAGGACAGTGCGGCAAGCCTTGCCTTCCTTGAGTTCTTCAAACTCATCCCTGTTTCCCAAGGGTCTTGTAAATGTGCCCAAGTCTATCCACAGTTCTACTTAAAACCAAACACTCTATTGCTAGAGGGTTTTCCCGTTTTTCTGAAGGCTCTGGCCATGCTCTCCACTGTCATTAGTTAAACAAAACAACAAAAGTCTAGTAGGGCATGATGCCCTATCCCTATAAAACCAGCACTTAGGCAACTGAGTCATTGGAAACCCTAGTTTGATGCAGTCTGGACTACATAGTTAGATTCTGTCTTAAAACCAAATAAGATAAACCCAGTGATGCTTCCCCCCTGTGTAAGGTTATGGGTCAGGCAGGTGTATGCGTGTAATAAGATGTTAGTCAGACTCTGAGAGATTCCTGTGTAGGAGAACTTGGTTTCCACCATGGGGACAAATGTAGGAAAGACCTAAGGGGACTGACACCTGGGAAGAGCTAGACATATGTGCCAGTGTGGTTTCCACAGCCACACTTCCTGTAAGTTCACGTGGGCCGATGTGTCCTTACCAGCAGTTCTTTCTTTAGGCCGCTGAGTGCGGGCTTTGCAGATAATTTAGAAAATAGAGAACTGATTCAGTAGCTTGAAACACAGAGCAAGGGTGGCTTTGGGTTGAATAGTGGCCTGGCTATTGTACCTTTCTAAGGCTATACTTTTTGAGAATGTCTGCCATACTGAGATGTCATTCTTTACACCGTGAGTCTGTTCTGTGATTTTAAAGCAATAACACTATTCACATAGCATGTAGTAATAAGCATGATTTATGTATCATGAGTGTGTTTGTGTGTGTGCACATACATGTATATATGTGTGTATACATGTCTGTACAGGTGTGTGTATATGTGGATGAGACTAGATATCAGCCTTAGGCATTACTCTTTAGGAGATTTTCACCTTGTTTTAGACGCAGAGCCTCTCACTGCAAACTTGCCTGTTAGGCTATGTCAGCAGGCCACTGAGCCTCTTCCAATCCTCCTGTCCCCAGGGCTGAAATTACAAATGCATGCAACCATTCCCTGCTTTATACATAGATTCTGGTCATCAGACTCGGGTTCTTATGCATATCTGGCAAGGAAACGTATTGCTGCCATCATTTGCTTTTTACTTTTTAATTGTTTTTGAGATAGAAGGTCTCACTCTGATGCCTAATGGAGAATCCAACTCTTGGCCTCAAGTGATACTCCTGCCTAGGCCTCTTGAGTAGCTGGGACTGCAGTTGCATGCCACCACATCAGGCATTATTCAAGCTTTTAAATAAAAGTAGATTAAATTTGGGCTGTGTGTGGTAGGGCGTACTTGTGATCCTAGTATTTGGAAGGTGAATATCAAAAGTTTAAAGCTAGCTATATCAAGGCCATCTAAAACAGAGCTTGATTAGTTTTAAATTTCTGAGTTTGCAATTCAGCATTTACATATATAGAGAAAGAACCATGTACTGTAGGACAGATGTATAAATAGTATGCTCATTATGAGTTATGAAATGTATAATTAGGTTGGGAATCTTGTGAGATTTTCCCCATCCACTTAGGCATGTCCACTGGTGTGGTCATTAGGTAGGTCTTGTTCATGCAACCGTATTTTGAGAGTTTATGGTCACAGTATCTCTGTCATGTCTAGAGGACACTGTCTTACAGTTGGCTTCTGAGTCTTTTAGCCTTTAATGTTTTTAAAACATAAAATTTCTTCTTCCCTGTTCCCTGAGCCTTGGATGTTGAACTTACACTGTAGATGTACCAGTTAGGAATGGACTCCTCAGC